ACTAATCGTAAATTTTCGTAAGTTTACGCTCGCGTAAAAACTTGCGGAGTTTTACGCCTATTTATTTTTGCTGATGTATTTTCCTTTCATTTTTGTTTCTTTCAGCTTTAAGAAACTTGAAATATAGTTTTAAAATCTGCCACATATCATAGATGATGAATTACCCAAGCGTGAAGAATACTTGGAATATCAAGACCCTGATATTGATTACGAAATATTAGATGATACTAAAAGCTATCTCAAAAATATATCTGAAATACCATCTACTTCAAAAACCATAACTGATAAAAGTGTAACAGATAATGAATACGATGGTGACTTCACTTTTGATGAAAGAGCGTTGGACCATACGAAAAATTTTGTAGCAGCATCAATTAAAAATTTAGAACAAGATGATGAAAGGGATATTAATTGGTTAACGTTAGATGATGACTTGCAGTCGGAAGTTGAGTCTATATAGACTCTGCCAACAGATAATAGTAATATACTTGATTATGAAATAGGTGATGAAACAAATACAAATAATCTAAACAAAAGTAATGAATGTTGCGTTATTATTGATTATGCTGAAGAGCATCTTCAATGTTGTTTAAACCCTGTACGTAGCAGCTTGTAGACATTTGGGAATTAGATTTTCAGGCTATAGATATAGCAATTAAAGCAGAAACAAAAAATGCGATAAATAATTTAGGTATTTGCACTAGTCATTATACATTTGATCAGAATAAACTTCATTTAGCTAGATTAAAGCAAGATGTTTCAATTAAGAAAAGTTGGATTCATAGGTGAAAATGTATGTTTTGCAGTTCTGATAAATATTTTTTTAGTCGAGGAGGATGTTGTACACAACATTTATGGAACATATTAGGGCAAAATATTTGTATTCCTTGTGCCTGATTAAAAGTTTGTCCAGTATTTACCATGAGAAATAATGAATTTATTGAATCACCCACAAGTCAAAAGCGATTAAAATTTATTTGCTCTCGTTGTTTTGACAACGAAGGTGGTCATTTTTTTCAAAGAAAAGGAAAAGGGTTACCACAATTTTCCTGTATTGAAAAACATATAAACGATAATTAATACTCACTTCTTCTTTGGAACAATGGATTCAAGAAATGGCAACAAACCAAGATCAGCAATTTCAAGTTATGCTTTTAGAAGAAATCTAGTTAGCAGTTATTAGATTTTTAAATAAGAAAATAGAGTATCAACGAATAGTATGAATGAAGACCAAACTGAAAAAACAAATCCACCAACATATTTTGGAATTAAAACAGCTCTTTGTATAAAAAAAGTTAATTTATGTAAATTAGAGAAGAACCACCAATATACCAATCTTATAATTAATCAGCCGCAAGAATTAGGAGAAGCTTTAAGAAATGTTGTTTGGAGATTAAGATCGGAGGTGCGTGCCCAGAAAAAAACACTTAAAATACCAAATACTTTACAAGAATTTCATAATGCATTTCCTAAATTAATAAAACAGTTATTTAATAGTTTTATCATTTGTATTTTACAAAAAAAGTGGGAAATAGTACAAAAAAAGCGTATACAACATGGATTGATTCCAACAGAGTTTAATTTTACAAGAGCTATAAAAATTTCAACATTTATAATGTCATTAATTTTTTCAATGGCATTTCCGGGTATCAATATTTGGCTTACACATGTAATGAGTTCTCTTTGTAGAAAACCTAAGCAACTAAATTCACTTTATGCAATTTTATGCATGGCAAATGTTGTTTCCCATACAAATCGTTATGAACGAAAGTTAGAAAAACAATGACATAGAGATATTGATATATTAAAAAAATTGTTGCATGGAGAAAATGTTTGGAACCTATGCGTAATAGATAATATTGACTTTAAAGAAAGCACATTTGCATACGACAACATATTTGATGTTTCAAGGCATACAGCACATGCCACACTTAGAATGGTTTTTTAATTCAAATTACCACAGTCCTTATCTAGTATTACTGAACAATGTAGTTCAACTTATGAGTATAAATTTTGGGTTGGGATGTCAGATTTTACAAAAAATGAAATTCAAAATTCAAAAATATTTTTAGTTCCCTTTTAGATTCTAATTATAGTTTTGATGTTTTTGAATTGCAACAAGAAATAAAAAAAACTATCCAAATGGGATACTTAGTTGATCCGCCAAACGTAGTTATTTTAGAACCTGATGCAAATCCTTGCAATGATGAAAATATTCATAATGCAGCGAAAATGTACAATAATGATGTAGGGCTTGACTGTACAGGAGGTCTTTATTTAGCAAGTGACGAATCTATTTTTTGACGGCTTGTAAAGTTACATGAAACTCAGCCTGAAATAATATTGCTATGGCATACCTCAAAAATAATGTGTGCTACATTAATTCGTCTTTTTTCTGCTTATAGAATTTTTAAATTGGCTGCCATTCTAGGAGTATCTTATCTAGATAAGCTTGAAAAAGTCATTTATTATGTGGCTATATGCTGTGTTTTAGAATTATTGTGGGTTGCTGTAGGTAATGCTCTTAGTCAGTATGCAAATAACAATAATAATATAGTAAAAGTTTGGCACTTATTTTTTTGTTGGACAGGTATATGGTTAGGACATAAACTTGGAATCCGTTATAGAAATTACGAAATGCAAATAGAAAACCTTATCTCATTTGCTTCACTTTTTCTAGCAGTAAGACATAGTAATTATGCACAATCTGTTACATATTTTTTGTCATATGTTGGAAAAAATCATATTTTACAACAAATACTTCAACATGTTTGTTCTGTGAATTTAATATGCTCTGGCCATTATTTCGCCTTTGATGAGGCTCTTGAGAGGTTTGGAGTTAAATTCGTAAAACAGAATATTGGATCTACTTTTCGATCACATGAAGATTTAAAGTTAAGAATTATTTCATTATAAGCAGAACAAGAACGGCTAAACTTGCTTTTAAGTGAGTATATTAATGAAGGCTCATTAATTCCAGTAGATCGACCTACTAAATCTCGTGAGGAAGCTCTTTGGAATCTAGCAGATCAATTATTAGAAGCATTCAATCAGCCAGATCCTACTTAGCACCAACTCTTCAAAGAAATATCTCAAAATACTAATGAAGGATTTTGACGCCTTTTTGAGTGTTACAACAATGGGAAAAGATGGTTACAAGATATTTATAAACAAGATATTGAAAAGTCAATGAAATGTAATACATTAGTCAGACGTAGTTAAGAAGTTGTTATTGAAACCTTTGCTCAACAACAAAAGGATCAAAAACAGAAAAAAAAACCTTTTTCTAACAAGAAAACTGAAAAAAAAAAACAAACTAAAAAAAAAATAATAACGATACTTACAATATAATTTTCTCTTGCTAGAACAAATAAATCAAAAATAATTGACGTTATTTGATATTTAATATGTTTACTGAACTTTTTTGGTCTTACAATTTGAATCGGTCCTTAGGCAAAATTTTGAAATACATTGTACAGTGAAGAATGGTTAAATTAAAGGAAGGAAATATTAGCAAAAAAAATAAAAATTAAAAAAGTAAATATTTATCGAAATTAGATTAGTTTTGCATTCAGGGTCTGTCGGGTAATTAAGAATTAATTAAGAAGCATAAGAAATATATAATAAGATAGTGATAGAAATCAAATCCCATATGATTGATTTATTATGCAATTAAAGTCAAATATCATATGATAAATTATGATATAATTAATTTGGAGTCAAATGTTATATATATAAAGAACATAAGAAAATAAAGAGAAGGGTTACTCTTCGCTTTTGTCTAAGAAATACTAAAAAATAATCAATAAAACACATACCTTTGTTAGTGGTTACCCTTGATAAAACAGTAAAATTATATTATGTAGCTTGACAAAAAACCCACGGTGCCTGTCTGTACATCAATTTTATACATCAAATAAGAAAGGGCAGCTCGTAATAATATGAAGATCCTTTTAAATTTTATTTCTAACTATTATCTAAATTTTATATAAAAAGATATCAAAAGTTAGTAAATACATATTTAAAGTCTAGAGTAAATTTTTTTGGTTTTATTTTTTTTAAAAAAAATTTTTATCGATATACAATATTAAAATTAGATGCGACATCTTTATTTGACCAATAATGATCAGCAGTGTGCAGGACATTTCCTATGACCGTTAGACATTAAAAGTTTCAAAACAAACATTAAAAATTTGAATTTAGTTAGAAAATTATTTTTTCAAATCAATTCCGAACACTTTTATTTATATAAACACTTTTATTATAAATTACAGAAAATTTAAATGAGATTATGCTATTAAAATATATAATATCAAGAGCTATTAATATTATGAAATCAGAGTTGAGAAATACCCAAGGAAGGCATTCGAATAATAATAAAATCTGCAAAAATAATGATATTAGTAAAATATTACATCAATATTGAGTATAAAGTATTTATATAATTTATCAGATAAGTTATAATAATTATAAGTCAGAATTAAGAAAGATCTCGAGGCATTTAAATGACAACTAAGAACTATAGGCTATGTTAGTAAGATATCTGATATTAGTTATTTATTATTTAATAAGGAATTATTATTAAGAAAGACAGACAGACATAACTAAGATAGGTCATGCCAGTAAGCTACTTAAATTTTTGTTATCTAAACAGAAATTAGAATAAGATTTTGAAAAAGCATTCGAATAGTTAATAAAATCTGCGAAGAAGGTTCATATTTATAGTAAGTATTTGTTATTTAATGTAAGAAAAGTAAATATAAAACATTCAAAAAAATTTTATTAAAATTAGTTATTTAAACAGATTGGAATCAAGAAAATGAACATAAGTATCAGAATGATTTATGAATTCTGCTTTATCACATGGAGTGCCGATAGATTATGTACTATGAAGCTAGAATCAAATTATGAAATATTCAAATAGTTCAATAATTTGCCAAGGTGGGTAATGCTATTAGCATATATAATGTTGGTTATTGTTATAATATCTAGAATTAGAGTTAATATGAGTATGCAAATTTTATATTATAGAAATGAAAATAGTAAAAAAAAAACTTTTGAATATTGAAATCTGCTAAGATGAGACATAATATTGAATACATTCATGGAGAAGAAAAATATTTAAAGGTTAGTTTAGAAATTGTACCTGGATAGATATTTTATTATATGGCTATAATAATAAATTACCCAGATAACCAGGTAATTTAATAATATCTGGGTAGACTCTGGTTTTATAAAGTCTTTAATTGTGCCTTTAAAATTTCTTCAGCTTGCTTAATTAAACGAAGCCCATCGGCTATATTTGTATAAAAAATTTTGAGCAAATAGAATTGTAAATAATTTAGCTTTAAAAGAACATAGCTATAATAAGATTTGTGCTTAAAATATATAAAGAATATTGTTGTTGTTGTCAATCTATAGCCAACCAATTCTTATAAAGTGCTAGGGTTTTTAGAGCTAATAACAGATTCATCAGTATAAAATATAAGATTAGTTGAAGAGCAATTGTAGTTGGCAATATTCTAAAGAGTATTAGCTAAAAATATAGAAGGAATTTGTGAAGCTTATATAATAAAATTTTCTAGAGAACTAGAATTATTAGAATTACTACCACTAATAATAAAGATCTCATCATTATTAATACCACCAATACAGGCTGCTGCTTCTTCTTTTTCAGGACCACCAGTATAAGTAAGGTCAATCCATGGTATTGAAGCATTGTTGATTATTGTAAATGATTTAGAAACATCTAGATAGAAAAATTCATTGGTAAATTCACGAGTAGAATTGTTGGTGTCTTGGTGAACCTTTCCTCCACTAAAATAAATCCTTTTATCATAAAGGACTGCGACATGCCAATATCTTCCGGCA